ACAATCACTCGTTTATTTACATAGTTATCATCATTTCAAATCATTTTCAAGTCTGGAACAATCACCAAGGTGATTTACAGAATAGTATAAGGAGTAGGCTTAACTATTCTCTACAGACTTAGAAGAACCGGTTAACTCTAACTACTCAGCTTGAGTGTTTGAGTCAATCATGTAACTTATACAACAACAATAACCAACATGTAATAGGCAACAATAACCAACATGTAATAGGCAACAATAACTACGCAGTTACACACTTACACATCTTCCACTATCAGAAATAAAAAAGAACAACCAATCATTATTTCTTCATCAATCATTCATTCTTCTTAGGGGCCACAGTCACTCTTTTGTATACAGAGTTTTCAACATATCAAATCATTCCCGCTTTCTCAGTCAATGCAGTTAGGCATGCATAGAAATCAAGTCTGGAACAATCACCAAGGTGATTTACATAATAGTATAAGTAGTAGGCTTAACTATTCTCTACATACTTAGAAGAACCAGTTAACTCTAACTACTCAGCTTGAGTGTTTGAGTCAATCGGGTAACTTCTACACCAACAATACGCAACATGTAATAGGCAACATTTATATACACAACCTTACACAACTCCCACTGTCAAGCAAATACATAACCATAATTTATTCATAAATACAGTTTCGGACAAACATGCCCACAATTCAATCCTCAATATTTATGTAGCACAAACAGTGACATAAACTATCACACAAGCATCATTTTTACTTCCACAGTTCGACATTCAATTTACACAATAAATAACAACTCACAAGTCACAACCACATTTTACACTCCTCATCAAGCAGAGAATAGAAGTTATACCTCATGCTCGACTGTGACTGACTGACTGATATGAGAGAGTGGGACACTGAGAGTCTGAGAGTGAGCTTGGCTTTACCGGCAAAGGGGCAATGCTTCCACAGTTCGACGACGTTAGGGTTTCAACTTCAAACTAAGAAGCGTGTGAGAGTAAGAGTGGGAAGAGAGAAGACTGAGGCCTGAGTAACACACTGAGAGTCTGAGACCCTCACAGACTCACTGTCTCACATCCGGAGTCCGGAGACTGGAGAGATGAAGTGGTCAGCGAAGAGAGTTATCAGAGAGTCAGAGACTCAGAGTAAAGAGAGATAGAGAAGTAGGCGGAAGTGGGTTAGGGTTTATTAGGGGAGTATATATATAATTATATATGGGTTGTATATTGGGCTGGGTCTTTCGGGTTTTCGAACGGGTCGGGCGGGTTAAATCCAAATCCTACCCGGCCCGGTAATCAATAGGGGTAAAGTCTGGCAGGTTTTCGGGTTTGTTAATCTGGTCGGTTGACCCTACCTGATCGGGTAACATCCAAAATATCCGATCGGGTATTCGGGTTGGGTCGGGTTTTGCTCAGCCCTAGTTCTCCCACATACAACCAGCATTATCCGAGTAAGCATTAAGTATCAGAATATTTCTGACTGGCGGATCCTGTGCGGACATTGGGCTCGCAAGCTAGTTGCGCCGCCTAGAGGTATTTGGGCCTGGACCCAATACCCCAACACCCAAAATAATTTTCAAATATACTTATTATTTTACAATCTTTGTTGTACTATTATTTTTATAATAATTATTCACATTAGTTACTCCGGCATATTTTTATGTTATATTTGAAAATAACTTTATAATAATTAATAATCGTTGTTCACAAATATTGACTCAAAAGATCTAATTGTATCTTTATTTTTGTACAATTAGTAATTTTATTAGACACCATTTAATAATTATCAAATTTTAATATAACAATGATTTTATAATATTTTAAATTAAACTTATCAACTATTTTTAATTAAAGCAACGCATGACAATAGAGGAGGCTAACTGTGTGTGTTTGTGTGTTTGTGTGTGTGTGTGTCTGTGTGTATTATAATATAATATTGAAATACATAAGAGTGGAGTTTTGAAAGTTGAATAGCATTTCATTTATGGTGTTGCCACATGTTATTTTTTCCTACCAAAATCAATAATTTATCCAAAGAATTCTTCAAGGGTTGGCTTATTATATTATATAGATAAATATAGATGCTTTGATTTTTTCAAATCAATTTCAACTTCTAATTATACAAACATTTTTTCAAATTACTCCGGTATATGTTTCTATTTTTTTTAAATTAATTACACTTCTTATTCACTTCCTAATTTTTATACTCCGATATTTGTGTCATCATTTTTTATAATACGAGTATGATGTAGAGTTCGTTTGGTGATTTTGTTTTTCGGTTTATCAGCCAACTTTTTAACTTAACACGTAACTCTCGATTTCACGCACTAAATTTGCGTAAATGATGTAATAATAAGAAAAAGTAAGATTGATGTTACTTTTCTGGTTGTATTGATTGATGTTACTGTAGATGACCATTAAAGCTATTTTTTCATATAATTTTTTCTTTATTTTATTAATCAAATATATTTTAAATATAATTTTTTCATAAATCATCAAAATCACCCAGTACAACTATTTCAGTGAAAATTTTACAAATTTCGACAGAATTAGCTGATTCTGCCGATTTCAGGGTTACCAAACGAGCTCGTAATTGACGGGTGCAGTGAACAATTTTGATTGACTTTTCAATGGCCAAAGGACAATAATGCTCCGAGTGCTCAATGGCAATAGAGTACCACACCACACCACTAGACCAGAGTTAGTCTATCACTTATCTCACGAATGCAATCACCTTTGTCTCTAGTTGGTCCATGTGATTAACTTCCCAGTTCCATTTCATACGAAATAAATTTAATGGTGGGTAAATTTACTGTTTAGACATTGTTTCGACACTTTTTTGCATTGTTTTGCACCGTTTTGATGTAGATAATTTGTCAAATGATGAAGTGAGAAGTTAATTTCGAGACTGTCTGAAAAGGAAAGTGGAAAGTTAATTTCGGGACGAAGTGAGTATATAAAATTTTGTTCGAAAAGCACTACCTCACCTAGTCATTTTATCAAGGGATAAAGGTCAAATTGACCACTATGGTTACATAAGAATTTCATATTGACCACTAAGGTTTCTAATGAACCAAATCGGAAACTATAGTTACGTATAAATCTCATATTTGCCATCAAGGTTTCATAATTCACAGTTTTTGGACACTCACGATTCTCTTATTCCTTTAATAAAAGTTGTTAGTCTTATTTTCATTTTTTGGTGAAATTAAACTAATTTAATAGATGCATATAATTTTGGAATATTTAATTTGAGGTTTTAGAATATATAATTTGATTTTTTATTAGTAACTTCTTATATTTAACAAGTTAAAAATATATTTATGACTTTTCATTCAAATGATTTTTATGGAATTTTGGGAAACATCGATTTGTTTAATTGGTTCAAAAATATTAAAGAATTCAATTACATTATAATAGATTTTTCTAATTGGAGCATCTAATTATATATTCTAAATCTAAATACACGAATTAAGTTATTTTATTTTTTAGGCACATAAAACAAAGTAAAGGGGAATACTTATATAGTTATATCTTTCAAGTGTGAAAAGTCTTTGGTGGGTGTTAAAAAATGGTCAGAAAAATGTTAAATTTGATCCGTTTGAAACTTTAATGTCCAATATGAGATACACATGTAACCATAGTCTCTAATTTGGTCCATTTGAAACTTTAGTGTCCATATGAGATTCATATGTAACTATAATGTCTAATTTGACCCTTATCTCTTTTATCAAACTCCCTTCGTCCGAATCCGGGTCTTCCCTAATACAAAATGATGTTGTTGATATTGAATTTTTAAAATACCAATACAAAAGTAAGAATGAATTAAAACTATATTGATATCACTAAATATGATACGAGATAAATTACTGCAACGAATGAAACGAGATAGAGAAAAAAGATAATGTGAGAGATTTGTTAGTTTTTTTAAAGAGAGACTTGTTAGTTAACATTCTTATTTTTGAAGTAGCACAGAACCCATTCACTAACAATAACATGTCATATTTCAACCTTGTCAAATATTGATTCAAATCTTCTCAACTATTGATCATTAATCATTAAGATGCAAAGGTGAGTGTCCTTCACTCCTTTGGGCTTTGTCACATACATCAAACCCTTTCCGGTTAATACTTTAGGCATGTATAACTAAGGACTTGGGAACAACTTAGGCATGGACCCGGTCCACTTGTCCATGTCGGTCCAGATTTGTTCCGGCATTGTGAGGCACTAGACTGGGTCCTTTTTTTATTCCGGACGAAGACTGAGTATCCGACCAAGTGTATAGGGCACCCGATCCTGGTTCAACGATTTGAGGACCAAACCGGTCAGCCCCTATCCTAATCTCGGTCCCGACCGGTTAAATTTTTTAACCCTTGGCACCCAACAAAAGATTAAAAAAACGGGACCAGGTCCGGGTACTCGAAACCGGCTCAAAACCGGATTTATACAGGTTGGGTCCGGGCTTAAAATATTCATGGCAGATTGGCCGGGACTGAGCAATCTAGGTGTAGAATCAGGACCGAGCCAGGTCAATGGCTAGATCAGCTTCTATCTGGCATTGCTGGGAGCATAGTGCTTGTGGCACATCTAAAGTTCGAAACTGGTACGATAATGATGATGTAAATGTATGGTACTTAAAAATATTCTTCTAAAAAAATTAAAGACTCAGTACTCGTATATTATTGTTACACCATATTGGGGGACCCTCAGGAATGGAGTGTCATCCCTTTTTTGTTACACCATATTTGCGACACCCGATCCCATCAGAGGGTTGTGGACCTCTGAACTGTGTGTATGCCGCCGAATTGCACTACTTCCCCTAAAGAACTTCTTCCAGAAGTTGTACTCAGAACGCGCAAGGCGCTTGTGCTTGGCTAAATATGTACTACGCAATAAAATTACATTGTATAGTATTTTCTTGTTTTTAACGTTATGGTATTCAATCCGTTTCTAGCTCCACCGAAAATATTAAAGTGAGGGGAAGAAAGTTTATAATTCTTTCTAACCCAATCCAAGAAAACATTTACAAAAAAAATGATATTCCAGTGGGTAATGATTCATCAATTTATTGTACACGAATTATGAAATGAAAAACACTGCATTATGATAAATTCTGGAACTTCTTTACTGAGCTAAATACATCACATTAACTAGAGAATCACAAATTTCGCAGGCCTTGGGATGCAAGAGATCACTCGCGAGGAATTCTTCAACCACACCATTCACTTCTATAGCACTACATCCAGGTTTCTTCTTCAATCCAGACTTCTCAATCATTTGTCTGACATTCCTAGCCTCTGCATCCCAGCCAGCCTCCTTATACATTATGTAAGAAAGCATGTGACCACCATAGGGGGCTGTCATTGGATTAGAAGAGAGTTTTTTCCATAATCTGTCACCAACTTCAACATTACCGTGTACCCTGCAAGCGCTCAATAATGCCCCCCAAACATTAGGATCACCCTTTTCTATACCACCCATCTTCTCTTCAATGAACTTCTCGGCTTCCTCTAACTCACCAGCCCTTGCTAAGAGGTCTACCACACATGCGTCATGCTCAAATCTTGGTTTCACCCCATAAACACTACTCATTTTGTCATATAATATAAGGCCGCTGTCTATTAGTTTAGCATGAGTGCAGGCAGAAAGAAGAGAAACGAATGTGGTCTCATTAGGTTGTGCCCCACTTGACATCATTTCATCAAAGACCCGAAGAGATTTTAATGCATCTCCATTCATTGCAAATCCTGATAAAAGAGCATTCCACGATCCGGTATCTTTACAAGATATTCCCTCAAAGACAGATAGAGCAAAGTCCATTCTACCACATTTCGAGTACATATCCACTATTGTAGTGGCTAAGATAAGGTTTGAATCATACCTGTGGCACAAGTAACACTTGAATGAACAATTGCATTTATTGTGTTGATTATAGATAATGTATAGGTTACCGTGCCTAGTGAGAGGTCTCGAGTTCGAAACCCGCTAGACACATAAAGGGTTTGAAACTCAATGGAGTTTCAGCTCTGATTACTCCAGGCCCCAGGCCCCCTTCCCCAGACACCCCCTGGAGTAAAAAAAATATATAGATAATGTATAGGCGACCTATGCTGGACACATCACTTCATACCATAGGGAAGTGAATAACAATATCATAAGGTAAAGGAAAAAGAGTGAATACTGCATATATAATATTTTTAAGGGAAAAGGGTCAAATAGACCCTCGAACTTACATAAAAAGATCAAATAAGCCCTTATATAGGAGGCTCTGTCCGGCCGTCGCCATTTGGAGCGGTTCCCGTTGGAATTTTTTTATGAAATTTTTGGAGCATCTTATTCATTAAATGTAGTTTAATCATATCAAATTCCAGCTAAAACTTCAATCGGGAAGGCGTTCAAATGAATTCGTGAAGATAAATGCGTAGTTAAAAGCGCAGTTATCTTCAAGAATTCATTTGAATGCCTTTCGGATTGAATTGTTAGCTGAAATTTGGTATGAGTAAACTAGACTTGATGAATAAGATGCTCCAAAAAATTCATAAAAAAAACCACCAGGAACTGTCCCAAATGACGAAGACCGTACAGAGCCTCCTATATAAGGGTTTATTTGACCTTTTTATGTAAGTTCGAGGGCCTATTTGACCCTTTTCCCTATTTTTAATCATCAATATATATTCATAATGCATAACATTCCAAGTACCTGTAACGTTTTGCCAAGGAGTGAATCCACAAGCCTTGCTCTAATGAGCCAAGATGAGCACAAGCTGTGACCGCACTCACAAGAACGGACTCGTTAGGCATCATTCCAATATCTTCCATTTTCTTAAATAACAATAAAACTTCTTTAAAATCACTAACCAGTGAATAAGCTGCCAGTATTGTGCTCCAAGAGATGACATTTCTGCTTGGCATTTCCTCGAATAGTTGTCTGGCTTTCTCGACCTTCCCAATTTTCCCATACCCATCAATCATTGTCGTCCACAACACCACATCTCTGTCAGGACTTTCATCAAACAGCATACTGGCTTTACCCACATCAAGCGCCAACGAGTAAAACTCAATCAACGCACTAGCAATAAAACGATCTTGATAAAACCCTAGTTTCAGTACATGGGCATGTACTGAAAACCCCATTCCCTTAAAGACGTCTAAGACCATAGAGCATGCCTTGACAAGGGGTGTGAACGTATAATTGTTGACAATAAGATTACAGCTGAGCATCTCTTTGTAACAAAGAATTGCGGACACAGGCAAATGGGATTGCACGTATCCTCTGATCATTGTATTGTACAGGAATGTGCTTCGGAACCGAAGGTTCTGAAAAATAGCAGTCGCGTACCCAAAGAAATCTGGGTTCTTTGAGGAGACAGCGAAGGAGAAAAGCGGAGCGATGGAGGAAGGGCTCTCGGGGAGTTTGAGCAGATGAGCATGAATTTGTTTGAGGTGGTTGAGGGTTGTGCATTTTTGCATGGAGAGAGGAATATGTTTGGATTGCAGAGCTAAAGGATTATGAATGGCGTCTTTTATGGCTGTTGCTTAAGTAAGTAACACTGACCTATGGCTCTACAAGTATGTCGAGAAACAAGAACTCCCTTGATTCTGCCTTTGCCCTATATAATGTCACGGCTGTGCTTAGCCTGGTTCTGCAGTTCTGCCTCAGCCCTGCTCAATGTAGAGCTTTGTTGTCCTTTACGGAGAGGAGCGAATCCCGGCATGAATTTCTGACTGGGACAGTAAACTAAAAATGCCCCTAAAATATTATAAAAATGTATAGCAAAGTTTTCATTATCAAAAGTAAAAATTGATATAGAAACTAAATGCTTTTTCCAATTAAAGTATAATAAGCCATAGTTCCTTTGACGTTCTTACAAAAAGTGAAAAACTTGTACAAACACTAAGAAGGCCTCAACAACCCCTTCTAAAATTTATATAAGAAGAGAGGCTTAATTGTAGTGAGAATTTATATATTCCGTATGAGAATTTGTTCTAAGAAATGGTATTGAACTGAATCTTTCTATTCCTTAGAGAAGTCAATTAATTCATATTCTGTAAACTAAACTGAATCAACTATATATTAAAACTACATAACTAAAATACTTATTTATCGATACATTAGAGCTAGATGTTCAGTATTGTTTATACATTGGAGTACTAATTCGATAAACTAATTTATCATATATCAATACATTTATCGAATGGCTCAATCAGTATCAAGTATCAACATATTTTATTTGAAGATTTATCAGCATAATAATTCGTATTGCTTAATATAATTCACTGAATTAGTACTCAATATTAAAATATATATATGTACCGTTGATATCAGTGATGAAGCAAAAGATTTCGTTTGTATTGAACGGAAGAGTCTCGAGGCAAAAAAGCCAACTAATTTTCGCCTATTCTGGAAGCCTCTGGCTCGTCCAAGTTTTAAAATTCCAAGTTTGAGCTTTGCCTCCTATCTTCTGCGACTTCACTGCGCGTAGATGTTGCTGTTGGGCCTGCTTCCGACTATCAACTTACCCAGGATCGGGTTAGCATGCGAAATCAATTTAGGGGCTTCCCTTCCCTGATGGAATTTTCTCCGCAGTCGAGCGACTCGAGCCTATACTTTGGCCGTAACAGACTCGCGAGCTCAATAGTTGCCCTCCTTCCCGGTGGGCATGTCTATTTTCGGTTCGATTCGAATTGGAACCGGGCTCAAGAAGAATCAAGACAAAGCTGATCCTCACTGTAATTCTTGTCTAATTGCTAAATACAGATTGATATAAATCCTCACTATAATTTGCTGAAATATGTGGCCGACCGAGATTGATCCAGAGAAAGCTATAATAACTTTAAGCAATTTTAGAGTCTCTTTAATAACGGTTAAACTGATAATATTTTTTTTACCCGCACGGGTATCTCAGTTGGTCAAGCGGTGGGAAAATTGGACGTAGACCAAGGTTCGAATCCCGCAGCGACTAAAAGGGGGTTTTCAGAACCTGAAATAAAGCTGGCCCTCTAGTGCGCACGGGTAAAGGCCTACTGCCGCTTTGACGACTGAGTCACCGTGATTTACTCCCCCACCATCCTGTCGGGTCGGGGTGGGGGGCCCTTGGGGTTGGGGATTCAACCTTTTGGACGTAAACTGATAATATTTTGACTTAAGCGGTTGAATTATGGGAAGAGTTAAAATATATTCTGTTAAAATGATCTAACTTCAGTCAATTCAGCACGTCACGATAAAAAATTGTTTGTTTAATAAAAAATTGACTGATAAAACTGATAAGCTGACAAAGGAGTTGCCCAAACTACTCTTATTTTGAATTTTAATTTAGTAATATTTCTAAAAAAACTAAGAATCGGTTATGTGCATTAGTCTAAAGTTAGTAAGAAATGTAGCATACTCTTAATTTTATCAATATGTATGTAATAAGATTAAAAATATTCAATTGTCATGTAAAATAAAAAAAATCGAAACATTCATGCTCTCTCAGTTTCATTGGACACGGCCTACTTTGATTGGAGTTTGGAATAAGAAAACTAAAAATTTAGTTAATTTAGATTTGTGTGTACACATGAGAGAAATAAAAAAGCCATAAATTCATTACTTTAAAAAGAAATTGGTAAAATTTGTGGGACAAATAAAAAAAGTTGACAAAGTCCAATAGAACGGAAAGATTACAATATAATTATATATTATTTATAGATAAATTTATATGTTCGTTTACTATTTCAAAGAAAAGGTTTTTTTTAATGTTACTAAAATTAAACTCACGAATTGAATTAAAATTGAATTAAAATATAACTAAAGTTTTATGATAGTTTTTTATAGTCACTACGACTTAAGAATTGAACATAATAATAATAACAAATAATAAAAGCAATTAGAGGTGGCTTAGAATCAAATTTTTTCGTTTTGACCTAAAACCAAATGTCGAATCAATGTAAAAAGTACAGTTTGGTTTTAAAAATTAAAAAGTAAAAAGCATTTTGTTTAGGTCAATTTATTTTGATTCAAGCTCTGTTTTTTCGATTTTTATCAGAAAAAGTTTGTTGATTACAAAATATAATACTTCGTAATTGGTAAATAAATAAAAAAATTAAACCTACATCAAACAATAATTAGTGGCAATATAATACAAAAACATAATTAAACAAGAGGCAAGAAACAAATGCACTTCAAAATTTCCAATTAGAAAGTGTATATCACATTAAACATTTCTTAAAATAAATAAATGCATACATGTATATATGAAGTACATATACACATGACTTGAAGTCGAACTTTTATTCGTAAAGGTTGTGTACAATCCCTTGTAAATTGATTCATTTTCTTTCATACTAAAAGATTTTTTTATTGCTTTTAAATAACTTAGAATAACTTATTCCACTTTCTTTTTAAATAAAGGCACATATGCTCTAAAGTTTCACATGTTGTTCATAATTGTTTAATTGAAAATAGATTGATAATATACAGGTTGTCTAAACTAAAGTATGATTTAGATAAATACATACTAGTATTTCTTTTACAATAGAACATTACAATAAAATGTCATTTTCATGTAACAACAAGAAAAATGTAAATTACTATTTAAAATATCAATATATTAGTATTACAGAAAAAGTTAAAGTATATATACAAGTGTTTCACTTCATTAAAGCATAAATATCAAATATTAATCAATATCTTAAAAATCATAATAAGCATCATAATAATTTCAAAAATTAAGAATTAAGAACTAAAAAATATTTTATCAATAAATAAGATAACATATTTTAAAAAGTTTAGTTTGTTCAATCCGATTTTTAAAGGTGGAAATTAAAACCAAACAACTACGATTTGATAAGTTTTTTAAATTTTTGGTTTTCTTGCGATTTAATTTATTTTGCTTGTGGTTCGGATTTTGTCGATTCGATTTTTAGTTTTGTCACAACCCCTAAAAGCAATAAATCACATTTTGATGAATTATCATCAATTAAAAAAAATAAAACATTATTAGTAATTATCCCGCATTTAAAAGTTGTCGAATACAAAGTGGTGGTATCCCAAACCAAGAGTAATCAGACTTTGAAATAACATGGGTAGCTCAAAATTTCATTTTGTACACCTTCTTATACACATCAGCAGGGGCGGACCTCCCTATGTTCAAAAGTGTTCATGTGAACACTCAAAAATTTTAACAAGTTATGTAAAAATACATATATATGGGTGGTAGTGTAAAAGTTTATATATGTATTTGAACACCCAAAACTTATACTCCGTAAAATAAATTTGAACCTTCAAAATTTATGTAAAAGATCCGTCATTGGACATCAGTACACCCCCATGTCGGTGAGAGTTTTTTTTGTCTGTGAATCCCAGTCCACAGACAAAAACTGACTTGTTTTGTCCGTAGAATTTTTCACAGACAAAATAAGATAGTTTTTGTCTGTGGACTGGAAGTCTGGAATTTACAGACAAAAAAACTCTCACAAACACGGAAGTTTACTTAGGGATGGACTGAACTGGGCCAGCCCGACCTAGAACCGGCCCATTAGTGTTTGGGCCCTGACCGGGACCGGTTGGCCGGTTCCGGGCTTTTAGCCCATTTGGGCGGGTCAGACAGGCTGGGCTTGTTCCCAACTTTTGGTGAACCGGCCCGGGCGATTCGGGCCAGGCCCGGTTCAATTTTTTTTTTGTTTTTGTTTTTTCAATTTTTTTTGCTTTTCTTAGGGATGGATTCGGGCCGGGTCGGTCCCGGGCCGGGCCTAGGCCCGGTCGGGCCGCCGATTCAAGAAAAGTGGGCCCGGGACCGGCCCGAGGGTTGGACGAGTCCGGTTCGGGCCGGACCGATTAATTTTTTTATATATAATTTATATTTTATAGTTTATAGTTTTATACGAGTATTAAAAACAAACTTCAATTGCATTTATTTGAAATGAAATAGGAACTACATTTGAAAATTAAAACAAACTTTAAGAGATAAACATTTTGAAAATTGTAATCAATCGGAACTTCGCGCACCTCCCGATCCCTTTGGCTTTGTCACATGACTTCATATGCTTGATTGCCATCCCGAATCCGCCTGAAGCCCCCATGATACATTGTTTTTCGCATCATTTGCAAATTGCGTACCACATCCCGGTCTTCGGGTCCTTCTGCTTATCAAAATTATACCGTATAATGACATTTTAATTTTCCATCTTAACTTCTTGGAGAAGAGAATTAGAGAGTAGATATATAATATATTGAAGAATAAGAGAATTAGAGAGTAGAGAGTTAAGAATAGGATTTAGGAAGAATTGGAGAAGAGATATGAAAAAATGTTTAAGATTAAGAGTATTTATAGGTTTTTTTACCCCCAAGAATAAAAAGGTGTACACCAAGAATTATTGTGGGTCACACATATTGGACAAAAATGTTAGCTATTAACGTCATCATATGTCTAATATCATCAAACATAAATGTATTATAAGAGCAATCTCCCAACGAGTTTATATCATTCACAACTTCTTGAGCATCTGATTCTATATTAACTTTTTGCCTTCTTGAGCCCATTGTGCCTCTTCACGTATGGCTAAGAATTATGTGGAGTTTACAGCAAAAATGCCAAAATACTATTTTGGTGTACACACTTTTACACATGCCTGTGTAGACTTTTTTCTGTCTGTCCCTGACAAAATGTGTTTTATCTGGCCCAGACAAAACACGTTTTGTCTTGGACAGACAGAAAAAAGCCTACACAAACATGTGTAAAAGTGTGTACACCAAAACCGTGTGTACAACAAAAATACAAAATAAATGTTTATACAACAGAATGTGCTTATGAGAACTCGCTTGAGTATAAACCAACTGAATACGAAATACGTAGTAAATGTTTAGGTACACTAGAAAAATAGCAGGGGTGGGGAGCTCAACTAGGGAAAGTGCTTATATACACTCAGCCACTCAGCAAGATTTCAACATGCTAGTTATTCAAAATAATAAAAATTTGTAGTTACATAGCAGGTAAATGTAAGCACGGAGCATGTGTAAAGGAGTTACCATCACCAATGTTAAGTGAGTTGATCTTTGAGGGTATGTTTGGAAGTTTGAATGGAAGGGGAGGGGAAAGTTTTGAAAGTTAGTCATTGGAAGGGAAGAGGAAGGAAAAGGGAGGAGACCCTTCTTCTTGTTTCGGAGTAACAAATTTTCTTTGGGAGTAACAAATTTGAAAAGATAGAGATTGTGAATGAGTTGTAATTAAAATCATTTCACATATATGATGAATTCAAATAGTTGAATATATATTGATTTAAAAATGAGCTGAAATTGTCATTTAATTAACCATCTTTCAAAATCCTCCAATTTGGGGGAACTTGAAAATGGAGCATTTGAAGGTTTTTTGGAGGGTTACAAAAGCCCTCCAAAACCATCCCCTCAATATTTTTTAACTCTCAAACATGAAAGGGAATGTCATGAGCCCTTGTCAACCTTCTCTTCCCCTCCCAAACCCAACTCACAAACACACCCTGAGTACACATTTGGGGTGTATAGGCTCTCATTTACACGCTCAAGATGTCTGTATATACTTCGAAAACTTTTATATTGTGTAGGCAAAAAAATAGGAGGCATGTACAAAAAAACATGTACAAAATGATTTTTCCATGTCAAGTAACTAAAACCTGGAGAAGAAATTTGTCATGTAGCCTTCATCTGGTCTTGACTCTTGACCTAGAGTACACCTCGATATTGCATTCGAGATTTAGAGTGCTCTCATAGTCTCATTGGCATCAGTAACTCAGT